ATCACCGTTCGCTGCAAGCGTGGTTTTGTTCATGTCCATAATCACCTCGATTATTGCCATGATAGAGTCAGCGGTCTTTCAGGGGGGAAATTATCAAAATATAAATAATAATAAAACAAAGAATTATAAGGAACAATGATGCAAGTTACAGAACAAGCTACCCGTGAACCGACTTTCAAATCTAGCTACGCGTCGCGTGATAATAATAATAATAATAATTTATTGACTTATATAGCGCTCTTTAACATTAAGAAGATCAAAAGCGCAAAAGCGCATGATTTCCTCATTATCATTTGTTATTCCCATTTTCGTTGTATATTAAAATAACAATATTTTTCAACATTTTCCATTTCTTGATTCGTAGCAAAGAGCCTAACTAAACAAGCATCATTTGCGTTGAGTAATGATTTTACCTCATTGAGGTTTCTCGTTACAATCTCTTCAAGGATACTAACGACACGATTTAAATCCCTTGTCTTGTTGGTCGGTGAGCCTGTTTTAAATGCCTGACAACAGAAACCATTCATTGCATCATTATAACAAAGAAAGGGAGTTTTTCCGGCGATGGATGTGAGCAGGAGATAAGTTAAAAAAAATCCAAAGATGTAAATCACAAGGACAACGTAGTGCAGTAAAAAATGGAGATTTAGTTTTGATAAGATCATTCRGAGATAGTTGGACTTGAAGATTATCTGAAAAAAGTGCATCTCCGCGGTCTCTGTTTCACTTCGAGGATAACCGGAGTATCAGGTCTTTTAGGGGGCCTTTTCCCTTCTCCTTCCGTTTTTTTCCCCGAGAGCCTGATACTCAGGGTTACTTCGAGGATAATTTCTATACCTCTAACGTATTCCAGTCTATATCTTTATTTTCGTTTGTACATTGAGTAAAGTCAGGTTCTCGCCATGTCCCCTGTAAGGTACATTGTCTATATATCCGGCCTGAACCMRTGGTTMCACTTGTGCAGTTAGCTCTSGCTTGCTGACCAGCCTGAGTTTGTGGCCAGRYTATAAWTATTCTTTTGTTGATATCAAGAACGTAGGTATTTTCTGAGCACCAGAGTTGCCCTCCTAATCCTCCTGCAAGATATCTCCAATAATGAATTCCAATGTCGAAAACAAAATAACAGATCAACATTACATGGGTCATTTGAAGCATTGAACGTCTGATTTCCACTAACACATCTATACTTAACCAAGGTTTATTTAGTTGTTTGACGAGAATTTATCCAAATGTTCTCTTACCTCCACATCCATGTTGTATGGCTTCAATAAACAGCAACAAGCATACTAAAAGACTCCTTTCCATTTGAACTCGAATCTCTCCCATCAAAATTACACGAATTTGACTAACTTTATGCTGAAGGAGCTACTGTTTCAGTGGAAACGTTGCAAATTAGACAACGCCAAGGAAATTCAAGCCCTTTGTTGCTTTCTTAAGTGTTTGAAGTTTACATTTTCTCACTCGCCTGCACCGAAACATCCTTGAATGGTAGTAGATTACTCAATGTATTGTTGGAGACCAGCGTTATCTGTATATAAATACTTTATTAGTAATGGATGGTCAAAAATATGCCCAAGCTGCGACACCCTCACATGGTATGACATCACTGTCTAGTTCACTTGCTGGGGGATAACAAAACAAATCAAGACGGACTGTTCATGCTGCAAGAGTCGTCCTGTACACCTACTCCATGGATAAAAGTCAAATAAACACTAATACAAAAAGCAAGACAATAAGCGTTTATTTGTCGCGACAATTTCATTATAAAGCACTGTCTTTCAATGAGATGTAATTGAGATTCGTCCCCCCGGGTGCTGCTATACACAGCATCGTACATATAGTTAATACATATAAGACTATTCAAAACTTTCATAATAACCCATCGTCGTGAGATGCGACCCCCCGTGCTTTCGAACAAAGCATTTTGCATATKTTTAATATGAATTATTTTGATCATAGTTAGTAACTATGTGAGTTACTATGTTTTGAACTATGTYTTGATGGCCATTTCATTTCATTGTAAGAATAATTTGTTTGCACAACATGAAAGCACGAACGCCGTCCTTTGGGCGGAGATGAATGAAGTTGATATAGGGTTTTATAAAATTGCATTTCAATATTATTAATTGAGTTTTAAAAGTGAGTTGTCCGATGAAGGTAAATGAAGTTGAAAAAGACTTTATATCAGAAATATTTCAGAGGTTTAAAGCAGTWTCAGTGAATTCATTTAACCATATAATACACGTATAAATCATGCATTTCTTAGATGAAATTTACCGGAAACTAAATGAAGTYTTTGGCGTTGTGTTGAATATGAGTTTAAATCCAACTGAGATCTCCACTTTTTTAACTGATAAAATAAGTGKAACATTACCAATGCAAATTAGAATCATAGGGACTAGACAATTCAATAAACCCGACCTCCTCTGCGTCGGTGTTTCTAAAGAAACAGTTGTGTAAAAAGATAAATTCAACACGTAAAAAAGTAGGTGAAACAACATTTCAGATTTAACACAATATTTTCTAAATGGGTTCGTCACTTTTCTCCCAAGTCCCACAACATTTAATTTTGAGGAAAAACTCGAGTTACATAAGGAACATTTTTGAATCATTTCTATAGATAGGGATTGTAGTTGATTGCTCACCTTTCTCATGATTCCAGCCTTGATAAATCCAGGAATTCAAGGTAGCAATAAGTGATTTTATATCATTATAAGAGGAGACCAATGGACACTGATCGACTGTGATATTGAATACTCAGTTAAGTGTTCTCTGTTCCGCGTGCAACAAACCAATGAGCGTGAGTGGTGCAAAAATCGACTCCCTCAAATAATTCGAATTCATTTYATTTGGAGATTCGGCCGAGAAATCACCAATACTTTCCCGATGTTCACCAAATTTTCGAAGAGTGATGTCAATGCTTCGGAGTTCAACAGAACATTTTGAAACATGTTCAAGATATTTTGAACTACTAAAAAAAGTTCAGTTCAATTGAGTTTGGTAMTTATGTCGAACTTCGCTGTTTTTGTAACCCAGCAGGCCATACACAGTAAGTCAACAACTTTTGAAGCTACGTATTTTACGGAGTCCTCAAAAGCTGGTTTTCAAATCTGTCGTAATCATATTTATATAATTATCATATAATTATATATATGATRTGATTTTTATCATGGATTTTTCCAATCATTGTAAAGAGGATATACCTTTGGTTATGTTCACACTTGTAGCATTTTGTCCAGGTTTATTCACCTTYGTAGCATTTTGACATTCACTGAAATCAGGCAGCTCCCAACTACCGCTTGAGGAGCATTTCCTGTACATCCATCCKTTCTTGTTTCCTGCGGTACATTTTAKTTTTGCTTGTTTCCCWGCTYKTGTTTTTGGCCATGTAATAGMACCATAAATCCCACCTACACCTRCATCTACATAGATGTTTWCGSTGCACCATATTTGACCTAGGAGAGGATTTTCAATTGATTATTAAAAGTAGATGTACAAGGTAGAGGCTTCTATTAAGAATGGGATGCAAAAGAAGAAAGGAGATAACAATATTATCTTATTCCGTCTATTATAAAATGGCGTGAAGCATAAGGAAGAGAACTCTTCTCGCTAGTAAGTTCTAGAATACGTACAGACACATACTGTTCTGCTCTGCTCTGATGTGCACAAATGAATGTAGATTACAGAAAAATCTGATTTTAACCAAATCAAATTTCTTTTAAATACGAACGAAGTCTAGTTTGGAAAGTGCTGAATGTTATCAATCTGTAATAAATCCTACCGCTATCAGTAGAGGCAATAATGAAAGCAAACATCATCARTMGACACAAGGAAGCGACGTTTCGATATCTTGYCATCCTKYTTKGTTAATATTGTACTTGAATGGTACAAAATAGTTCTTTTTGGCACCGCATGGACATGAATTGTATCTTTTAGGTCGTAAAATCAGTRCTTCTATGGGATCTGCATGCTAATAGCTACCTAGATTACAATGTACACCACACTAATGACATACAAACCGGATTTCCAGACATTCATGGATGACTTATCCCAAAATACAAAACATTAAACTAGTATCGTTCTGCCCATGACATCATCGTATATTCTGCTAATAATTGAATAAAAAGACAGAGATGCATATCTTATGGATTTATTTAATGTTATTCATAAAAACTATTTTACAATGAATTAGCTGTCATTGGGAGAACCGACAAAGAGATCGTATCTCAAAGGCTTTCATATCAACAGACTTTCTATATTTTAACGTCGCATGGACTTACGTAGATGAGTATATATCGTGTTCTGCGTTTGACTATTGATTTTTAGCGATTGAAAAAAAAACCTTATTGCCAGAAAATAGGAGTAAAGAAAAAGGTTGACTGTGGCTCCAAATTCATTTCTAAGTTTGAAATCTAAATATCCCGGGGGGGGCACTCGACCCCGTTTTGGATAGGTACGTGCCGCCAGCGGTCTAAATCCCTGACCCTGTTTAAGACACTAAAAAGTAAAAATCCATACCCTGTTCAAGACAAATCGGAAAAATAAGGAATAGCTATCTACGCCGCAACCATCAAAACTGCAATTATACTGACATCCATCAAAGACAATAAGAAGTTTTTGATAACACGTTAATTCTGGGACAGTAAAACGGTATTTCTACGGTGTTATGAAAATATTACCCTGTCCAAGACACACACAAAAATTATATCGGTCTCTTTTATCTAAATTGTAGAGCCTGTTTAAGACAATTTCGGGTGAAATGTATACCCTGTTTAAGACAGCAAGGCCAAAAACCATACCCTGGCCAGCGGCACGTCCCCGTATAGCAAATATATGGGAGTACCCCCCCCCCGGGCTAAATATTTCAGTTTTGTTTAGCTGTTATAATTATCTCTATCAACTGCATATAAGATATCATCAGTTGTGACACATTTACCGAAAGAGATCACATGAAATGACTATTTTTAAGAGGAATGTTC